CTTCCACCCATGCATAGCACTTCACAGCTACAGCTCCCATCCTTACACAAGATTGTAGAGCTGCTAAGAAGCTCCCTAGTGCCCTGAGGGCCTCTCCTCTTCCCCTGAGCCCTCTGTAGAATATTTAAGGAGCCCTGATTCCTACCTTTTCCCCCAAGGAAATTCTAGTAGCATCAAATCAACACTTGTACCATGATTATTAGTGATTCAAACCACCAACAACTTTACAACCCAGCTACCTTAGACCTAAATAGATTTACTTTGCTCAGATTCAAGGCATTTCTACTTATCTCTACTGCATAAAGAATTATCCCCCTGGTTAAACAATTCTGGTCCTTAAGTGTTGATACACTTATTAATCTGAATTGTTGTTAAAAGACTTATCCCAAGTGAGTTGAAGACGTCCTCACCTTGGAAGCCTATTAATCCATGCAAGAGGATTGATACGGATGCCCAATTGAACAATTGGATGAGTCAGCAGTAGAACTAACATTCCTCACTGACTCCTCCCTGTTTCTTTTACAGGTTGAGGGATTTTTACCACAAATAAACCTTCTATTTACACTTCTTGTTAACACTCATAGCACAACCAACTCAGGTTAGTAGCATAGAGGCTGACAGGCATGGCCTTGGAGTTGCCTACGCCAACTGAAATCGTGCCTGTACAATCTACAGGGGTCTGCTGTATCATACAGGATATGGCAGAACAACAGTGTAACATAGGGTCAATGCACCCCTTGAGTTATGGGGTGCATCAACTTTTGGGCGGTGTGGCACCCTTGCTTGATTTTGGCCAAGCAAGGCTTTGCTCCAACCCCCGCCAAGTTTGACACGTGCCAAGCAGGGGTTGGGAGGGTGCCACACAGGCTTTACAATTGGCCAAGCATGCTAAGATTGGCCCAGCGCGCTTGGCCTGTTTTTGGCCAAAGTTTAGTGTGTGCCCAGACGGGCTTGCAACACCATACATAATCCCATCTCAATCTAACTAATAAACAACATGAGATGTGGTATTCAAGGAGATAACTCTTCTCACAATGTGACATAAGCTAAGCACTCCTCTGTGAGTCAAAGCTTATGAAATCAAGAGCCAAGCAAGATATGTAAGAGAGAGGATCCTTCAGATTGCATGGATGCAGTACCACAGCCAGGAGGACTCCACCTACCCATGACCAACCCCCCCCCCCAAAAAAAAGCTGCAGCAGTGTTGGGGATCAGACTCCCAAACCTTCTCCATGTTTCAGGGGAATAACTCCCAAAGGTGGGTCCTGACAACAGACCAGAGTTGGCTTTTGGGGGTCACTGTCAGCTCGACCAATGTCTCCCAACAATGGGAGTCAGAACTCCAATTCTTGGCAGTCATTATACAAGTTACCACAAATACCATCTTTTCTTCCATCTGTTTAGCAAGCCAAGTTTGTGCAATCAGTCAGTCATACTAGAACATGATAAATGTCAAAATGAGCTCCATATGAGAAACACAAGAGTGAAAACAAACAGCTCATCCATCTTGTCATCAAGCTGTAACATTTTTTTTATGTTTCAGTGAGAACATATCCCTTATATAACTTTTGGTTTGGTAGTAGCAGTAGTAGTGAAGTATTTACAACATAGACTTGTAATTAATGGTTATATATGATCAAGTAATTATGATTAGATGTTTAATTCTCAAAGATTTTGTACATTTATAACACTCTGTATATCACAACAACAATAACAACAACAGTCATCACTGAAAAACAAGAAAATATATGTCTACAAATAAAAATCAATGAGAGAGGGAATACTTTTATCTCTCGAATTCTGATCGTAAAAAGATTGACTTGACAAGAAAAAGGTCAATAGATCATAAGTTCAAGAAACCCTAAATCCTCTGATAGTAACGATAGGTAGACGGTCATTCGGTTTCAGATTGCCGACGGACGCCCGTGGTGGAACGAGGGTGGCGGGACGAGAGGTGGACGAGTTTTGAATCTGATTGGGGTGGACAAGAGACGTCCCATTCGCAGTCGTGTTTGCTTCTCCTTCCTCATCCTCTCCATCCCCATCCTCATCATCATCGCTACAATAATCCGTTTTATTATAGGCCTCTAGCAAACAACTACCACTCCTCACCGGCAAGTCTTCCATCCTGACACTCTCGTATGTCTCTATTTCCTCGTCTTCGTCCTCCTCTTCCTCATCTCGATCCTCGAGATCATGGTGTTTTTCGTGCGGTTTTGTCGGCTCTTCCTTGTTTATTTGTAATGACGAGATATCCTGGGTGATCGTCCGGCTGATATCTGCTCTTGAGATCTTCATCGATTCTCCTGCCTCATGGATCTTCCGGGCCGATGTCGAGTCTAACTTGATATCCCCAAAGAGTTCCATTATATACCTTCGTGTTACTAATCTGTAATGATAATTTCCTAAAATTTTCAGCGCCCGATGAAATAATCCCAAATCTTGGAATGCTTCTCGATATTTAGTTTTTAATCTGAGTCATATAGAAAAAGGATCACAAGTGTCTCAGTCAAGCTAACTCATCACCAGAGAATTTGAGAGACATTGAACAGATTGACCAACCTAGTGAGAGTTTTGGACGAATTGTTAGCAAGAAGATGATTACTTAGATTGGCGATAGAAGTTAAGATTTTTCGGTGGATAGGGGATTTGAAAGGAGCATAACGAGTTGACAAGTCCGGCAGCTTCTTCTTCTTTGGTTTCCAGGTAGGATTGACGATGAATTCATTCAAACGAGTCGGCACACAAATCCCCGTGATCATTCCCAATGGGGTGAGGACGGTTGCCCAACCAGCATCTTCCAAGAGTTCGGATCCTTCTGTTGTTGATGAAATAAGGCCTAAAACAAAGTAGCATGTTCTATTCAAAGTACGATAGATTAGCGAGCGCCAGATTTTACAAAAACCAATAGGATGTTTTTTTATCTTACCCTCTGACTGAAAAAACGTTGCTACTTTCAGCAATCGAAACCATGTCTTCCACCACGCACTCGGTCTCCAAAAAGGTAAGCCCACCGACAGATGCACCAATATTGCCGATGGCCCACAGGGCGGTCTTCACCTCATTGATGACTTCAAGGTCATTCTCCTCTCGTCCATGCTTCCGGATCGTTTTCACAAATTCATCGAAATGCCCTTTGGAAGTTAGCATTTCTCGCCCTTCGGCAGTCTTGACCAATTCTCCGTAGAAATGCGGGGGCGGTGAGCCATCGACGCTGGCACTGTATCAAGAAGCCACCCTTTGTTCAGCACAAACATTTTTTTTTCGCGCTAAATAATCCTATCATCTTGTCTGAAACTTACATGAGCTCATCATCTTCTTCATCTCGAGTGCCATCAGCATTCAACAGTTTGGATAAATAGACTTCCAACTGAATCACATAATCTCGGTTACGTTCCTAAGAATAAAAATAACAATCATAAGCATCAGACCAAATTCAAACATGTACATGTTTACAAAAGAAATTTGAAATACCCGAAACCAATCATCCATTTCCCGCTCAGTCCATTCAATTTCTTTGAGATAGCGTGCGCCGACAGAAGTAGAAAGGAACCTATAAAATTCCAAACGCCAAGTGTCAATCAGTCAATTGTTCAATAAAGACTCCACCGGTAAATTCTACATACCTCAGCAGTAATGGGGCTCGACATCATTAAGATTTCGACGAAGGTCTCATTTGACACAGTTCGAGGACTTCGATCGAGCAGCACAGCTCTCGAGTATTCACGCACAAAACTAGGGATGGTCGTACAACTGTGTCAGCAATAGTCGGATTGACCAGCTCTTGGCATCTTTAATTGCCGTTGGACTATTGGCTGGGGCGATGTTGACATGTTGGTAAGGTGATGCAGAGACAGAAAACTCGGCCCGGGAGATTAATTTTTCTAAGTGATGGGTCGCAAATAATCGAACATGCTTGTATGAGGAAGTCAAAGCCTTCGAAAGTACTAATCGACAGTGTCCATTTCTAAAATAAGCGTATGTAAACCAAAGAAGATGGGGTTAATATAGTAAACGCGAATCAGAGTAAAGAAATCGAATCACTCACATGGAATAATCAACATTTTCAATGACTTGTTTTACCAAATCATCCCTCGTCCTCATTTCGCACAGCGCGTAGAAAGAGGTAAAGATCTTGAATTTTTCCATCAATCTAAAAATTCCACCGAAGAATGATTCAATTCAGGAAGCCAACCACGCATAGTGAGATAGGTCAGTATTTGAAAAAGAGCAGGTGTCGACACATCAGAAAAATGACACCGTCTGAGCCTTTGACCCAGATGTAAAAAAGCTAGTACAAACCTGATGCCTTCCGGGTATTTGCTCAAAACACCGAGCATTTCAAAATACCCATGAGTTAAAGTATCTTCCACTCGACTTTGAGAAAATAAGACTTCATGTGACTGAGCACCAGCATGCTACAACAAACATCAAATCCCCCCAAATGAAAGGAAAGAGAATATAAGTTTTTCTTATTTTCTTTCTGGTTTAAATAAATTTCAATTGGTAAAATTGGAATACTTGTAAGGATGAAAAGAATACTGACTTGGTCCAACTGTCGTAAGCCTAAACCAATCTGTTCAACTAACTTATCCTCTGACAAAAACTTCACTCCAACGGGATCACTGAGTAAAGTTTGAAGAGTTGAACAAGCAAGTTTGGTGTAACGACTAGTGTGCTTATAAAAAGGATTTGTAGAAAATAAACAATTTGTCAGTTGGATGAAATTTTTAGTGTGTTTCAGATTGAAAAAAATGTGCAGACTTTAGTGCGTTTTATGTAAGGATATCTACCCTCGAAAGGATGGAGAAAGCCCAAGAGACGTTTCATAACTTTAGTGCTTCTAGTAAGCTCTTCCAATCTTTTAGAGTTCATGTAAAGCGTGCCTTCGATCAACTCGAGCAACTTGACAATATTCCAACGAGTGTGATCTTTGGTGACCAGGACCTGGGTTTCGATGACCAAGTTACGAAAACTGACATCATCTATATTCATGAAATGCAGTCGAAAGCGAGGGTCGGAGTGGGGGAGAAGTTTGGCATTTTGAGGTGGATCAGAGCCTGCATTGGCGCTGCCCGTCACGCTGCTAACACTGCCCAAGCCACTTGTACCACCCCCGCTGCCCGTCGTAGTCGATGAACCGCCGGTGATCAAACTTAACCCACTAGCCAATCCGTTCACTGAAGCACTCGATCCCATCACCCCAGACCCGCCCACCTTACTCGCACCTTCGCTATTCGACACCCCGCTGAGGAGTCCGTTGACCGAAGTCGCCGTGGCACTTCCACTGACTCCACCGACCGTATTCAGGCCCATCGAGCCAATTCCAAACGAGCGGAATAGCGAGACATCATCCCAATGACTTGAACTCGTCCCCGGATTGCTTTGTTTGGCCAGGAATGGTGAAGCCAACCGATTCTTCGTCCGATGCAAACTATCCACCTCTCTCAGCGCCGCCGTCCCGGTCGACCGATGATCCCCTTGCTGGAATGATGCAGCCAGCTCGAAGAGCCGAGGTAAGGATTGGATCCGTGTGCCGTAATGCAACGGCAAGATGCGGTTGGAAAGGTCTAGAATTTCGGCGATCAGTAGAGAAGCTTTCTTCCGTACGACGCTAGATTTAGATGCCGAAGCAATGTTCAGATTGGCTTGCTTGGTGGTCGTTGAGCCCGGGACAGGTTCATCTCGAGTCCCCCTGGATTCAGTGATTTCGATCAAAGTTTCTAGCAATTTCACGTCAAAGAATACAAGTAGAAGGATTGCAAGATAATGATCAGCCAAAGTAGCACGTTCTGATGTTTTTTCAGGTAGGTCTTTGTTGATTGGCGATTGTGATGATTGAACGGGCTGTTGTCCGGGCTTTTGGTAATCTAGGACAATATTAAAAAGAAAATACGTACTTCCATCAGCAAGACTTGGGGAACTTCAGATGGCACTTAGCCGTACTGCAAGAAATACAAGGGGAATTAAGATATCCAACTGACAAGTCAACCTTTTGCCAGACATGAAAGTGCTAAACCATTGCGGTGTTTTGATTTGGAATATTTCGAATAGCGCATCAATCAAGATCAGCTACGCAAGGATAGGAAACAATCGAAGGTGCGTCAATGTTTTCATATTCACGCGTTGGGATGTAGGGTGTTCCTTAAGTCAGGAAAAAAAGCGATATCAAGAGCACATACCCGGATGCTATCCGATGGTACTTTCATTGATTGGACATACATCCGCAGCGATCTTTTTTTGTTCAAACACAGAAACATCAATCCTATGGAAGAAGACTCACTTCAGCAAACAAATTCAGGACGGGACAAAAACCGACAAATGAGAGCACAACTTACCCGTCCATGATTTCAATAGAAGTACGATGAGTTTGACACTGGTTCGAACTCGTTCATCTTGGGCCTGTGAGGAACTGGGTTCATTGACTTCGGTGATTGCAGCAAGTGCCGACTAGGTCCCGAAAAAAAGTCACTTTGGTGATCAAACCTTCACCTTGAACTTTATTGCAACTTACTTCAAAATCTACGCCTGGTTTAAGATACTGTCGGCAAACGGGACGATCAACCATGGCCATCACTAGACTGGCCATATATGGGGCTAATTCTTTGAGACCTCCGGATGTGTCGGTTAAACTTTGCATGATCACTTTTATTCCATCTGCTTGGGACAGTAATGCGAAATCCCTAACCACTAATCCCAAAGAAAAGGGAAATCAGATACTGGCATACGTTTTTGAAGGATGAGAGAAGATGGGCTGGCAATGGAAAAAAAATGAGGACGCTCAACTTAATTCTCCCAAAGTTTCGATCGCCAATTGTCTCAATTTTTCTTCGGCAGTTTCGGCAATAGAAACGATAGCACGAGCAACGCTCAAGGTCAAGAAACGAGGGTAACAAGCCACTGATCGGACAAGGATGAGTGCCTGTAGTTTCTCATAATCATACTTGTGATCTCGAGTCAAAGTTCTATGGGTGATAAAAGGTCAATCGGACCAAATAATAATAATGAGGATTGAACCCGCGCTGGCTTGAGCTTAGAGAATAATATAATCGAAGTATATTGGGGGAGAACTGAACTTGACGATTATAAATTCAATCCGCGATAATCTTAAGACGTTCATGTCGACTAGCGTGTGTACTACATGGCGTAGCAGTCGATACGATTCTGCCCTAACCTCAGTTGGGTTCGAATCGGACAATCCTAACAGACCACTGATTTAAAGGATCAACAGTCAAGTTTGTATCAGTAATTGCGCGATCTTTTTTTTTTACCAAAGAATAAGATTTCACTCAACATGTCTATCAATTTCCGCCGATTTAGTTTGGAGTAACCACGCTGACTTTTGACCAGATCAGAAAGCTTTCTGAGTTGAGGTTCTGAGAATGAATCCTCGTCGACAAACTGTTTGATTAGCTCTTCTATTTCAGATTGAATCCGGAGATTATCGTCTAGAGTAAGCAATGTTGTTTGTTGTATGTGTAGTCAGATAAGATGGTTCTCAAATTCCAGTGCTGATTGGTCTATTCAAATTTCAAGAATATGAGAAAATCTACCTGCATAGAATTGGCTTGGCGGATTAGATTGAGCTGGAGGTAAACTGGCGACCATGTCAGCAGCTAGCTAGCAGGTATAAAAGTGAGGTAATTTTGAGAGAGAATAAAGAAACTGACCACTATCGTTTGTTTTGAGCCTTCTTCTTCCTTTCCTGGGGGAAGTGGCTGTGATCGTGGCAGAAGGAAGAGAATGTGATGAAGATTGAGGGTTTAGGTCAATGATGAGCCTCAAGGTGAAGATTGAAGAAGTCTAGTAGATATGAACCTGAGAGTGCTTCGAGTGCTTCGATTTCTTTGACCAGCGCCTTGACGTTCCGGTTTGCCAGGTCCAACTCAGCCTCGACGGAAGCATGGAGGGTGCTAGCGGTAGTCGTCGTCGAGCAGCCTCCGATCGAGTTATTAAGTTGAGAGGATAGATCGTTATCCTTCCGTTTGAGTCCTTGCCCTGCCCCGACCTGATGTAATAAGTTCTCGGCACCGCGTTGGATGGCTTCAGCACGTTCTAGTTTTATCCTGAGTGCGGCTAGTTGTTCCTTGAGGTGATCCTTTGATGGTGTGATCGGTGGTTCAGGTGAATCGAGTGCGAGTTGAGAGGCCGATGAAGGGTTGTTGTTGTTGCTGTTATTGAGGTGGTTGAGGCTGGAGAATGAGTTTGAGTGGGTAGATGGCTGCTGTTGTTGATGTCTGTCCATGGTGGTTGATGGTCATGAGCTTGCCTGTTCATGGTCAACAGAGTGATGAAGAGTGACTCAAAAATAGTTTGGCTGATTATGTAAGCAGCCTGCTGTGTATGTAATATGTATGCGAGTCAACTGGCCATGTGACGTAGTTGGTAAACTCTCAGCTTCCTACATACTCAAACCAATCTCATCATGGCACACGTGGCCGTAATCCAAGGCTCATCAAGGTAAAGCTACATCCTCCCAACCCCTTAAAGGAGAAGAGAAAGAAGACTGACGAGGATTTGGATTCATCTTCCTCTCTTGAATACAGGGGGATCGGACTATCTCTAGCCAGACATCTCTTGAAGCATACCAATCTAGTCGTCGTAGCCACTTCACGAACCCCACAGGAAGGTCGAGCACAGATCTTAGATAAACTAGAGAACTCGACCAAGCTCAGCAAAAGACTGCATAATCTCGAGTTGGATGTCCAGGACGAACAGTCCATCTCTCAGGCTGCCGGTTATGTCAAGGAAAACTTCGGACAAAACCTTAGACTGCTCATCAATGTATCTGGTGTCGTGAGTAGTTCTCTAACAAGTCTACCATAAATTTCTTCACGCTGTCTGTTCAAATGGTCTCTTTTTATTTCTCTCTTTCTTATAGCTACTACCCGAAAAGTCCATCCTCAAAATCCAAAAGGGAGAGATGCAAAAGACCTTCGAAGTAAGTCTGACATGGCATCGATTTGCATAAATTATGGTCTCCAAACTGATGGAAACGCGTTTGTAAACGATCCAGGTGAATACGTTTGGCCATCTATTGACTTACAAGCATTTCGTACCCCTCTTACCGCTGAAGGCGGACGCAAAACCGAGTGATGTGGAGGATCCGGCGATGGGATTAGTCAAGCCTGAGGTCAACGTACTCGCAAGTCTGAGTGCGAGGGTAGGGAGTATTGGAGACAATTCACTAGGAGGGTGAGAGCGCATTCCGCGGGATACTTATTATAGGAGGGGAAAGATGGAGGCTGACTGAGAGGCGCTCGATCTCTAGATGGTACTCCTATCGATCCTCCAAGACCGCCCTGAATCAGATCATGGTCACCCTGCAGAGGGAGCTGGCCGCCCGAAGCTCGATCTCGCCTACCGTCACCGTCGCCTTGCATCCAGGCACCGTCGCCGGCACCGAGCTCTCACAGAAGTTCGTCCCCAAGGATCTCTCCGGCTCCAAGCAGGGCATCCACGATCCCGACACTGCCGCCAGCTCTCTCCTCAACGTTATCTCGAAATTGGGACTCGGCGACGGCGGACAATTCTTCGACTATAAAGGCGAGAATGTCGTGTGGTGAACATGAATGCTACCCCATGATAGCTCGTACACACATCCAACGCATAGATACTTAAGAAAATTGCCACAAATAATTCGAACTGCTGTACATTAGAAAGCTTGGACTGATTCCACTCTTTCTCAAATTTCGAGCTCACACTTTTGTTGACTCAATGTTTGCCTTGTAACTCGCTAGCTAGCCAACGCTGAGCGAAAATAATGAATACTCATGTTACTTCCTAATAATAAGCAATCTGTTCTCCGCAACACATGCACACTTTGGTAAATCAAATGCATCTAGAGGGAATCCTCCAGTCGCTTTTGAACTATGTTAAAAAAATCCCACAGGTTTGAATCGGTTTAACCACAATTGAATATGGATTGGATCTTTCCTCTGACATTTATTGATGGACAGTTTCTCGCACAGTCAAAAGCACAGAATGAGGTTTCTCAGTTTGGGTTTGTCTGCACAGAAGGTAGATTGCAATATGTCATTCATGTCATTCAAAGTCACGGGGACATATACACAGCAAGGTGAGCAGATACAATGTGGGAAAAAAGAGGTGAGATCAATAAGATTGACTAAGACAAAAGGAGAAATTGCAATTAAATCATTCAATCCTGGAAAGTGTTTTCTTGTTTGACACGAGGCCTTTGATGCACTAGTCAATCATGTTCAATGTTGTTTTAATTCCTTAATTGAGATGATATAAAATTTGTTCAATTTGACTCATTTCATCCTTCATTTAGTCACCAGACTGTTCACCACAAACAAGTAAAACTTGGTCAACTGGGATATAATTAGACCATCCTTCAACTCAGCTATAACTAGGGAGTTAGTGAAGTTGACCCTCACATTTCAGCTTTACAACATGAAATAATTTGATTCATCTCTCATTCTTGAGAATTCAAGGCACAAAATGAATGATGTCATATGACAGGTTTCAGACAATAAAATCCGTACTTTCTTCTTACTTGATTCTTCATTTTTATTCCATTCATTTTATTGAAACCTAGAACTTGGTCATCTTTTAATTATTCTATTTAAATTAGCTCAACACAAATGAAATCAATCATGAGTTCTTTTTTCGTCTTTCACCCCATGGATTTGAGCCTTTCCAGTGAGATCTCCTAATGTGAGCCGGGCTATTTGAGGTGTTTGACAAATTTGTAAATTTTAATGATAAATACCATGAAAGTTGCCTCAAAATTCAGATGTGAATCATCCTAGTATCCTCATGATTAAGAATGATCCTACGTCAGTGAGAAAGAAACACACTCTGCAAAAGCAAGCACATAAAAAGCCTTAACTATGTATCTAGAAAATTCCATACTTGAAAATCTGGGAGATCCTAAGGGCCTTTTCATTATATGAATGAATCTTATTCCCCTGTCAAGGAAATTTATACAGTCTATTTTTTCCACACAATCTGTTAAATTTATCGGCAAAGACAATACAAAGAGAGATTGGAAGATGGCAGTAAGATTTGTCATCATTGTAATTCTTAAAGTACACACCTACAAATGGATTTTTTAGAATAGAAAAATGCATGATTTCCTGGTTGTGATGTTCATGAATGATGTTCATGAATTGAATACCAGCTGAGACAATCTGAGTCATCACCCTTTGTTGATAGGATGGGATCGGATGAATTTCTGTCTGAAGCAAGATGGCTGGACTTGTGGGGGTTTTATACAGTTTTTTATCATAACAGGGGGGGGCATGTTAAGAACAATTGAATTGTCAGCTTTCAGACACACACAGAGAGCTAGAAGACATTTAAATCCAATTTACTGCTTGCATCAAGGTTTACACCATGCATGAAGTAAATCTGGAAGCATTATAATTGCTTCAAGATTATATGCAAGTTTCATTTCACTCCAGCTTCACTTACACTGTACAGGTTATCAAATTTTCCCCATTTTTTTCAGTTTGTTAAATGGCATGTTGCTAATGTGTCTTATTTTCCCTGTGAGATTGCTCTTCTCTTTTGTTGTGTTGTTTCAATTCTATTTTCTTATTACTCAATCAAGCCTCATGTTGAATTGACCCTGACTACAACAATCCTTTTTCAAGTTCACATTCTCTGAAAATCAATCCAGATCTTCTCATCCTTTTTCCCTGCCAAGGCAAAAGAATGGAAAACAGGAATGCGAATCCGTCAACAAGCCAGGTCTTTGTATAAGACTGCGCTGTGGTTGGCTCATACCTATGGATTGTGATCAAGGGGGTGCAATGTGGTTATTTTACTGGTATGAAATTTGGAGCTACATTTAAGAATGGGTGGAGGGTGGACCAGGTCTAAAAAACACATGACTACGCTGGGGAAACTAGAAGAGTGAAGATAAAAAAAATCTGGTTCCGGGGCCAGCGACTTTCCGGACGGTTTCTCTTCCTCAGCACTTGGATGACCATCGCTTTTTGCGTTCACTTCTGTCGGTCCGATTATTAGCTGCTTA